TTGCACTGGTGGTGGTGAAGATGTGAAGACCATGCCCTGCTCCATATATTACCTCCATGAGGCAAAAATAACCCCAGGTCTCTTGTTTAGTCCTGATGCTCCACGGGTGTCTCTTTGGGGTGCTTTGCAACTGCAGTTTGAAGGCTGGGTGGGTTCAGGGGCAGATTTGCTGCTTTCTTCTCATCAATGCAATGGCAGAGCGATGGCTGACCCATCAACCCCTTCCTCTGTGAGCTCCTTTTGGTCTTAATGGGTAGAAAGTGAGAAATCGCTAGGCAATAGGGCTGGAATGAGCCATGCAATTAGTTGACTCAGGCTGTGCATTCATCATGAGCAGAGAGTGGCAATTCTTCAGGGCAAATGGGAGGTCTATGGTTGGGAGTTCATCCCCAGCTCATTGGAAGTCAACAGCAGGGTTCCAACGGGTGTGCAAGGGGACCAGAAATGCTCTGCAGCGTGTAGAGGGTGTTTGTACCTATGTCTTTGTGCAATTAACCCGCACAAAGACATGTTAATAGCAGTATAGTACAGGCAGTGCTATTAGTAGTGAGTGGCCAGAGGAGGAGGAAGCAGGACTGCATTACTCAGCCATGTTAAGTCAAGCTAATGAGTGCAGGATCTGGGCCTTCAGCTGAAGGGGTTAATACATCAGCTGCCTTACCTGTGATGTTTCTGCATTGCAAATATCCCAAAGGAACTTTTTTAGGGCTTATTTTTCTCTTTCTTACATGAATGATTGTAATACCATCAAAACCCAATAAAAACCATCCAACATGCCGCCTGTCTGAGCCTCCCTGGGTAGGAGGGGGCTCAAAGCTGTTGTGATGGGGAAGCCTCAAGGGGGTGGGGCAGGAATGCAAAGCACTGGGAGTGTGGGGGCATGGGGGACACCCGCAATTGGTGACATTGGTGTGGGATGGGGAGATGCTTTTATGCTTTCCCGTCACTTGGGATTCATCGGTCTCGGCTGATGGTTGTAAGCACCCAGGGATGATCCACACCAACTGTGGCTTGTGACTGGAGCATCACAAGGCCTCGGAGAGAAAGCAACTCTGCACAAATGGCATGAGCATGTTTGTTAATCTCATTGAGCCCCTGTATGGAAAATAGGGATGAGGAGGTTAAGGAAGGACCAACACAAGAGAAGTCTTGCGAACTCAATGCTTTATTTTCTCATGGGCACCTCACGGGGCCAAGGAACAACCTGGGTCATCAGGCAGAGGCGGCAGCAGGGACCACAAGTGATGCCCTTTCCCCAGGGAGCGATGGTCCTGGAGGGCAAAGGAGAGGGTTTGCAGCCTGGGGCTTGCAAAGCTTTGGGGGGACCAGAGGGAGCTGGTCCATGCGTGGCCTTTGCGGCTGGAGCTGGGGCAGGTGGGACAGCCCATCACTTCATCTTCTGCGAGGGCAGCTGGTGGACCTGCTGCTGCTGCTGCTGTTGCTGCTGCTGGTGGTAGTGGTACTGGACCTGTGGCTTCCCGTGACAGCCACCACCACTGGAGCTATGGCACCCACCGCTGCCACCGGAGCTGTGACAGCCACCGCCACCGCCGGAGCTATGGCAGCCACCGCCACCACCGGAGCTGTGACAGCCACCGCCACCGCCAGAGCTATGGCAGCCACCGCCGCCACCGGAGCTGTGGCAGCCTCCACCGCTGCTGTGGCAGCCGCCGCTGCTCTGCCGGGTGTAACGCTCCTGCTTGTGGCACTGGTCCCTGTCCTGGCGGGAGCACATGGCTGTGGTTTGGGGTGATCTGCTGGGAGAGGAGAGCCGTCAGGCGCTGCTGCGTGCCCCATCGCCCCCATTGCTGACCCTGTGCCTGTCCCGTTTGCAATCCCACCCCCAGCACTGCTATGCAGGATCCCAGAGGCCTGGAGCATCCCCTGATATAGGATCCCAACAGCTGCTTGGTATGGCCCAGCATAAGACAGGTCCTCACCTCCCTCCATGCATCCCACCACCCTGCAAGCATCCCAGCAGTGGGGTTTGCATTGAACCTGCGTTCTGCATCCCATGCAAGGAAACCAGCCCCCAAAGAAGCAGTATCCATCCGTGTAGCCAGACTTACCTGAGCTTGGGAGGAAAAGAAGCGGAGGGAATGAAGATCCGAGGGACAGGAGCAGTTTTATAGAGATCTGGGATCCCTTTCCCCGGAAATGAGACAACTCTCTGTCACAGCCAGCTATTAGTTTAATACCCAATCCCCATCAAACCGCCCTCTGTTTACATTGCTCGCTTGACTCATTCCTGATGGCTATCATTCCTTTTCTATCTGTTTCCTGGGTGCCACATCAGTATCTAATTGCCAGCCTCACCTGCCTGTAATAGGAAAAACCGTGGGTGCCTGCGTTTCCAAAGGCTCAGCTCTTTGAGATGTGTTTTGTTCAATGAAATCCAGGTATAATTATAGCCCGGTCCCATAAGGCTCTGCTCTCAGAATCTAATCCCTGCTATTGAAGTGGCACCAGATAAAGCCAGAAATGATCCAGGTAAAAAGGAGTGTAAAGTTGTTCTTCCTTCTTCCCTAGATGATCTGATGATCTTCTTCCGCAGATGATCGTAGGGACTGAATGAGGTGCCGCAGCCATGGGTACAAAGCCCTCCTGGGCTTCCTGTAGAGAAGGCCTCATGTATTCAGAAGGGGTTTTCGAGCTCCCCTCCTTGACCTAAAGGGTGTGAATTCCCCCCAAAAGACACCTGAGCAGCCAGAAGATGATCCTGGGGACTGCTGAAGTCCTGCTATGTTCACATACATCAACGCAAGGTCATCGAGTGCTTCGTTGACAAAGACAAGCAATTTCCATCCTCTTAATGACAAAGATCGGGAAATGAAGACTGAGGAATTAAAAGACCCTTTTGGTGCTGCCTGCTTCATTGGTCCCTCTTTTGGAGCAAGGCTGGAGCTCCAGAGATGGCCCTTCTTTATAGCCATGTCCTGGTTGGAAAGCTTCATCATCCCCCAGCACTTCGAAATGCGTTTATCTCCAGAGACCACAGCTCCTTATTTACAGAGTAAAGGCAAGAAGAAGCCTGAGACGTAGACGATAACATTGGGAGCCATGCAAACAGACACGAAGATCCACCTCTCTGCTTTGGCAGCTCTCAGTGGGAGGAAGGGATAGCATCAGGGCTTGGACTGTTTGAGCTGAAAGCCAACGTCTTACCCAAGACGCACGTCAACTAGTGCTATTATCACTTATTATATATCAATGGTTCAATTATTTATTAATTATTTTATATCAAGCCGCACCAGGGGAGGTTTAGGTGGAGCTGAGGAACAATTCCTTCCCCAAAGGGTGATCAGCCTTTGGAACAGGCTGCCCAGGGCAGTGCTGGAGTCACTGTCCCTGCAAGTGTTCACACACAGTGGAGACAAAGCCCTCAGTGCCATGGGTTAGCCATGGCCTTAGCAGTGCTGGGGAATGGTTGGACTTGATGATCTTAAAGGTCTTTTCCAACCTGTTTGTTCTATGATTCTATGGTTCTATGTCATTCTGCTCAGCATCACTAGTGGCAATGAAATTTCATTCCTTCCTGCTTCTTCTACACAAACACCCATAGTCAAATCTTGAGCTGGCCTCAGGGTCCCTGTGTCCTGCCCATGGCCCAGCTTGAGCAGAGGGGGATGTGGTGGCCATGGGCTGAAACCTGCCCTAGGGCATGACCAGCTCACATCTATCACATGTGTATGGATGCTGGAACTGTCCATCAGGAGCCTCCCAGCTGGTGGCGGTGGTGTCTGTCTACCCAAGGGGGTAGTGATGGGGAGGATTGCGAAGCATTCACTGAGGTCATGCAATCTCACACAGAAACTGGTGCCTGCACTTGTAATTAGCAGAGGAACTGGGCAGACACCCACTGAGAGCTGTGTGTGCTGCAGGCAAAAGCCATCAGGCTGCTGGAGCAAGTGTGTGCATGCACTGAAGGGGCTGGTTCCACTGTGGGCTGAACACTATGTCCACAGGGCTTCTTGCTGCTGCTACGTGCATCCCTCCCACCAGCCAGAAGAATAAGCAGTGACTGAAGTCTCAAGGACAAATGAATTGCTGGGCATGAGTCCTGTGCAAGCAGGTTTTGTCTTTTGCGGAGGATATTGTGTCTTGCCCATGTTAGGAGTGATGTTCTGCACAGGAGGGTTTAATGCTCATTTGCTTTACAGGTGATGATCTCACTCATTCAATGAGAAAGGACAATGGGAGGATTTGCAGTTTCAAGTTTGCTTTGCAGTCCTCAGCCTCCCCGGTGTCTTAGCTCAGCTTTCAAAAGCAGAAACCACATAGGAATGGCACCAGAAAAGCCTCTGTCCTTTTTCATTGAGGTTACAGGAGAAAAAGAGATCTTTAAACACTCAAAACCCTCATAGGCAAAGAAAAGGAACCTCAACAAATACGACTTGTGATTGCTTAGAGGGATTTCTTGGGTGAATGGGGTTGCACTCATGGATCCCCTCACCCAAGGGGATGGATTTGGCTTCTCTCTCTACCAGCTCTTCCCTTGACTCTTTGCATCCCTTATTCCAGCCCATGGAGGCAGATAGGTGCTGAGTTCAGCATGATGAGCTCCAGAAAACACAAGAAGTAAAGAATTCACTGAATTAAATTGCATGGATTTATGCAGCAATGTCATTTGGTTTCCTTGTGCACACGTGCTGAAGGGCTGGGTGCTTTCTTTTCCCCTGGTTAAGATATATGAACTGCAAGTAACTGTAGAGGTCCTGTATTCCCCTACACCCAGTTGTGCCGCTGTAACATGAACATTAAGAAGAGGACAAGGGAAGTCTTGCTAATTCAATGCTTTATTGTCTCATGGGCACCTCATGGGGCCAAAGCACAACCTGGTGCATCAGGCAGAGGCAGCAGGGACCACAGGTGATGCCCCTTCCCCAGGGAGCTGGAGGGCAGAGAAGAGGGTTTGAAGCTGGGCAGCCCCAAAGCTCTGGGGAGACCAGAGGGAGCTGGTCCATGCGTGGCCTTTGCTGCTGGAGCCATTGGGTGCTCCATCACTTCATCTTCTGCGAGGGCAGCTGGTGGATCTGCTGCTGCTGCTGCTGCTGCTGGTAGTGGATCTGTGGGATCCCATGGCAGCTGGAGCCACCGGAGCTATGGCATCCACTGCTGCCACCGGAGCTGTGACAGCCACCGCCGGAGCTATGGCAGCCACCACCACCGGAGCTATGGCAGCCACCACCACTGGAGCTATGGCAGCCACCACCACTGGAGCTGTGACAGCCACCGCGGCCACCGGAGCTGTGGCATCCACCACCAGAGCGGTGGCATCCACCACCGGAGCTGTGGCATCCACCACCGCTGCTGTAGTGCTCCTGCTCATGGCACTTGTCCCTGTCCTGGCGGGAGCACATGGCTGTGTTTTCGGGTGACCTGCAGGGAAAGAGGAGCTGTCAGGGGCTTTCCTGCCCTGCTTCTGCTCTCACAGAGCAGGGAAATCTGGAGGTGCCTTTATACGGTCTTACCCAGATCCCCACAGTCATCTCTAAGCCTTGTGCCAGCTTCTCACCACCCGTGAGATTGACCCACCAAAGCCATAGCCAAAGACACTCAGAGCATCCGGAGCAACTGAGCAAGGCGAACGTGGCTTTCCAGAGCAGACTCGTGTTGCTCCCAGAGAGAGAAGAACACCCCAGAGGCTCCCTTCAAGCCCATATCTCTCTGTTCGCATTCAGCACCCTCTGCACCCCACGTCCCTACTCACAGAGCAAGCCCCAACCTAGTCCAAGGTGCACAAACCCATCTGCCTCCCGTGCTGCATCCAGCCCCAGAGCCCCGCAGCATCGCTGCTCTTACCTGAGATGCTCGTGCAGCAAAGGAGCAAGGAGGGAATGAAGCTTCCCTGGATGGGATCGCTTTTATACCCTCTCGGTGCACCCCATCTGGAAAGGAAGCCCCTCCCTGTCACAGAGATCTGATGGTTCATTTGATTTGTTGATGGCTTTTTTTTTGGCCTCCCCACTCTGCAGGTTGCTGGTGTGACTCACCCCATCCCTGTTGGGTATCGCCTCCTTATAGGTCGTCATTCCTGTGCCGCAGAAACACTTAATTGCCAGCTCTACATGTGCTTAGTTCCAATGAGGGAGTGATGTGGGTGGCCCTGGTCTCCACATCTGTGCTGGTTTGGTTTTGGTGTTTGGGAGTGCTTTGTGTTAAGGGGGGGAGATGAGGTTGTACACCTAAATCACACCATCCTTTTGAAACGCTTTGAAGTGATCTAGTCCTGCCAATGCACATAAAGCCAGAGATGTGCCTACAAGTAGATGCTGGATTGGAGCCAGAGAAGGGCAATGGAGCTGGTGCAGGGTCCGGAGCCCAAGTGTGATGAGGAATGGCTGAAGGACCTGGGGAGTTCAGATGGAGAAGGTTCATGGGGACCTTATTGCTCCCTACAGCTGCCTGACAGGAGGAAGGAGCCAGGAGGGGCCTGGGCTCTGCTGCCAAGGAACAAGGGATGGGACAAGAGGAAATGGCCTCAAGCTGCACTGGGAGAGGTTTAGGTTGGATGTGGGGAAGATTTTGTCCACCTAAAGGATGCTCAGGCATTGGAACAAGCTGCCCAGGGCAGTAGTGCAGTCATCATCCCTACAGGTGTTCACACACCGTGGAGACGAGGCCCTTTGTAACATGGGTTAGTGGTGGCCTTGGCAGTGTGCTGGGGAAGAGTTGGACTTGATGAGCATCAAGGTCTTTTCCAACCTGATTGATTCAATGATTCTGTGATTCTAAGTGCCAATAGCACCTTTGCCATGGTAGAGAACTCTTCCTTAACAGCAATTTGACTGCGACCACTGTTGGCTCATTTCTCTTAAAAGCAGCTGAAACATAGAATCATGGAATAGTTAGGGTTGGGAAGGACCTTGAGACCATCTTAAGATCCAACCCCCCTGCCATGGTGAAGAGAGATTGAAGCCAGCTCCTATGAATCTTTCCTGTTGGTCAAACCTTTCCTGCTGTTGCAAGAAGGCCCAAACGCAGTTGGGATTCTTATTTTTGGAAGGGGGAAGACTGGTCCTAGGTAGTGATCCAGGATTAGCAGGGTACATAATTATGTGGTGAACTTTCAGACAGTGAGTAATGCTGGAGTAGCAGCACTGGTGGATTCTTTCCAAGTTGTGAGTGGTTTCAGAGCTGCCAGGGCTCCCATGGGTGCTGCCCTTGGTGACACATGGTGGCCTTGGGTGGCTGCTATGTTGTGGGGAGCTGGTAGACCCCAAGGACTTCCCCCAAACTTGTAGGAACATTTGTTTTGGAGCACTTTTCCCCTTTCCACAATTAGCTTGTGATTGGCCAACAGTTCTGAGAGGTATTTGGAGGGATGCATGGACACTTGGAGCACTGTGTGCTGTTCTGGTGTCCTCAGCATAAGGACATGGATCTGTTGGAGCAAATCCAGAGGAGGCCACGAGGATGATCAGGGGCTGGAGCACTTCCTGTATGGAGACAGGCTGAGACTATTGGGGCTGTTCAGCCTGGAGAAGAGAAGGCTGCGTGGAGACCTCATAGCAGCCTTCCAGTATCTGAAGGGGGGCTATAGGGATGCTGGGGAGGGGCTTTTCATCAGAGACTGGAGTGATAGGACAAGGGGTGATGGGTTCAAACTGGAAAAGGAGAAGTTCAGGTTAGATATAAGGAGGAAGTTCTTTACTGTGAGGGTGCTGAGGCACTGGAATGGGTTGCCCAAGGAAGGTGTGAATGCTCCATCCCTGGCAATGTTCAAGGACAGGTTGGACAGAGCCTTAGGCAACATTGTCTAGTGTGATGTGTCCCTGCCCATAGCAGGAGGTTGGAACTGGATGATTTTAAGCTCCTTTGCAACCCAAACCATTCTCTGATTCTGGGATTCTATGATTAACCATCTGACACATTTGCTGTTACTAAAACACAGGGATTTTTGGCAAGGCAGGTGGACAGGGCAGGGTTAATTAGTCAGGTAAGCAACAAAAAGGCTTCTTTTGTGTTGCTAAACTGCTGTCAGGAGCTAGTGCAGTGTCAGGGCAAACCATACCCAGGTGTGATCTCTTCTATTTAACTGTGTTTTGTTCTGGCATCAGATGAAATGGGCTCAATCCTCTTCATCAAAATAGACTCAAAGTAATTGTTGGCTCTCAACATCACCAATGGTATTCATTTCCTCGTGTTTGAATTACTCTGAGCTTGCTAAAGTGGTCACTAAAGACCAGCAGCACCCAGGCAGCAGTCCTGGGCACCTCTAGATTTGTGGTTGTCTACCTTAAAGGCCTTGAAAATGGGGTTCTGCAATGGGGGCTTAAGGCAGATGCCACACACACACAACCACCCTTTCTAAATGATTCTTACACCATAGAATGGTTTGGGTTGGAAGGGGGCTTTAAAGCTCATCCAGTTCCAACTCCTGCCATGAGCAGGGACACCTTCCACTAGAGCAGCTTGCTCCAACCTGGCCTTGAGCACTGCCAGGGATGGGGCAACCACAGGTTCTCCATTCAACCCATTCCAGTTCCCCACCATCCTCACAGGGAAGAACTTCCTTATATCCAACCCGAACTTCCCCTGTTTCAGTTCTACACCAAAAGCAGGCAGACTGCTCAGGGGGTTAGCTTCTGCCTGCACCATTTTCAGCAATGCCACATCTCTCTGATCATTGTGACACACTTGAGAGTTATCTTATGAGGGCAACATCCATTTCATGAACGGCAATCCCGGACCAATAATTACACAATTGGTTCTAATTACAAGCCCAGAAGAAACTTATCAGCTCATTGTGTAACGTTAACATCTTGCAACACCCTTGGCTCAGCCTACAGCTCTTGAAGTGCTGGGCAGAGGGTTTCTAGAAAGGGGTTGTCTCAAGCATGTGGAGATACCTGCCTAAGGATGGTGTCCTGGGGCTAAATGGCAAAGAAAGGGGTTTCTCTGCCTTTGCCTATAGGACTTTTTCTGCCCCATGGTTGTGGCTCTAGCTGACCCCAAGCTTGTGCAATCTAGCCTGTGGGGTGTTGATGGAGGGTTTTGGGCCTCCATGGGAAGGTGGTGTGGAGGCACTGCAGATGCCTGAAGTGGCCTCCTAAAATCTCAGCATTCTCTATTCTCTCTTTTCCTTTGGATTCCATAGAGGAGAATGTGTCAGTGCCCACTCCTATTGTCTGTTTCCAGGCCAGGTGACTTCAGGACTATTAGACCAGCACAAAATGTCTTGTTTTGTGGTATGAAACTCAAGGTGAAAGAAAACCCATGGACACAAAACTCTCATGAACTCCAGGTTGTAATGGCATCTATATAGAATGATACAGAGGAACATACACAGCTTGTTTTAGCACTCACAGATAAGCTCATCAAAGGTACAGAACTCGCCAAGGGAGGGAGAGGAGAAACTTCCTTTGGAGGTGGCTGGAGGACATGCAAAGCTTTCGGAACTCAGCACAAGATCAAGGACATGCATGTGTATAACGCATACACAGCGTCCTTATCACTTCATCTTTGAGGATACTTGATAAATCTGCTGCTGGCAATCCTGTGGCTTTCCATGGCAGGATCCCATTCTGCTCCTGTAGCATCCGGATCCACTACTGCTCCCATGGCATCCGGATCCACTGCTCCCATGGCAACTGGATCCAATGCTCCCATGGCATCCGGATCCACTGCTCCTGTGGCATCCAGATCCACTGCTCCCATGGCATCCGGATCCACTGCTCCTGTGGCATCCAGATCCACTGCTCCCATGGCATCCGGATCCACTGCTCCCATGGCATCCGGATCCACTGCTCCTGTGGCATCCAGATCCACTGCTCCCATGGCATCCAGATCCTCCACTGCTCCTGTGACACCCTTCACTGCTGTGGCGTGAGGATCGTTCTTGCTGGTGGCACTGGTCTTTGTCCTGGCAGGAGCACATCTTCAGACCTGCTGGGAAGATCATGATCCTTGAGTGGGTGCAAGGCAGGAGATGCTGTGATGTCTGCCAGCTGGCAGCAATAGGTGGCTAGTTAGATGGGATTATATATCCAGAATAAATTCTGATTATAAGGCAGTCTTGTAGAAGAGAGGAAAATCAGCTATTCATTTCTGCCCATAGTGGTCCCTGACCTGTACAGAGCACTCTGTGCTACCCTTCCTCGAGCAAGTCTTTCCTTCCTCTTCTATGTTTAACAAGTACATAAGACAGAAGTTAAAGCACTTTGTGACTAGTGACAAGAGGCCAGAGTCCAGAGCTAGACCTGAAGAGTCCTGTCCTAGGCTGTCTGAGCCAGTAAGTTTTAAGTTTTCTTAGTTGCTTTCCATTATTTATGGATAGACATGAATATGGATGGAGAAGACAACCTAGGCAGAAGGACTGAGCAACTGCGACTGGAGATAAGATGTGTAATAGAAGTAA